TGCTCATATGATTATATGGCAATGGTGTCAGACTACACAAACCACATGCAAACTCAGGTAGACAAAATCCCTGCATAGAACTGGGAAAATGAACAGCAGACCCCAATCTTATCTAAAGGCCTATTGACAACTGATGAGGAACAGCTGACCCTCCTAAAACAAAGACCTCTAGATAGGCTCACTAGATTTCACCAGAAGGTCGAGTAGTGGGGAATGGCTGGGGTGCAGACAACACAGCAGACAGTAGCAGGGATATCAGAGTATAAGGGCTCTAGTAGGGGGAGGGAGGCTATGGGAGGGTGCTACCTGGGAAAGTGGGTGAACAAATAAAATAATAATAATAATTCTTCACACATGCCCTTTTAAATATACATTGTATACATTATAGCCTAGGATCCACATATGAAGGAAAACATAAGGGTTTTTTTTTTTATTTTATAAATCTGGGTAACTCACTGAATATTATACATTCTAGGTCCATCCAGTTTGCTGTGAATTTTGTGATTTCATTTTTCTTTAGCGCTGAATAATACTTGATTTTATATATATACCAGATTTTCATTATCCATTCATCTATTGATGCATAACTAGGTTGGTTGTTTCCTTACTATGGTGAATAAAGCAGCAATAAATATGGGGGTACAAATATCTCTATAGTAAGATATGGAGTTCTCTGGGTTGTATGCCCAGGAGTGAGATGGCTGGGTTACATGGTAGCTCTATTTTTTATTTTTTGAGACACTTCCAAGCTGATTTACATAATGGTTGCACTAATTTGCACTCCTACCATCAGTGAATAAGAGTTCCTCTTTCTCTACATCCTCTCCAACATTTGTCAGAGTTCTTGATAATGCTCATTTTGACTGGGATAAAGTGGTATCTTGAAGTAGTTTCAATTTGCATTTCCCTAATGGCTAGGGAGGTTGAACATTTTAAAAATAGTTGTTGGCCATTTATATTTATATTTTGCTTTCTGAGAAAAGAGTTTTAATCTTAAGATTTTTTTGTTTACTGATCTACTACAGAAAATGTTGATTTAGCTCTCATCAGTATGGCTTCCAACCCCTATTACACTTCCTTTCTTCCACACTGTTGATAGGGTTAAACTCAAAGTGTTGAATTAACATTCAGTGACTATAACACTCATATATTGTTCATGGTTAAACTACAATACATTTCTATGTCTGCTTTATTATTTTCCAGAGGATTGAAATTGCCTAATTCCTGTTTTGTTTTTGAGGCAGGGTCTTATTCTGTATCCCCAACTGGCCTGAAACTCAGTATGTAGACCAGTCTGGCCTTGAACTCACAAAGATCTGCCTACTTCTGCCTTGAAGTGCTGGGATGATAGGCATGCATCACCACCCCCAGCTGAAATTGCTTAGTTCTTTATTTACTTAGTTTTCTTTCTTTTTAAATTTTTTTTAAAAAATTTATTATTTTTATTTTATGTGTATGAGTGTATTGCCTGCATGTATGTGAGTGTACCCATGTCGTGCAGTGCCGCAGAGGTCAGAAGAGGACTTCGGATTCCCCTGGAACTGGAGTTAAGGACGGTTCGTAGCTGCCATGTGGGTGCTGGGAATCGAACCTGGGTCCTCTGCAGGAGAAGTCAGTGCTCTTAACCTCCCCAGCCCCTATTTGCTTAGTTTCCTATGTACTTGTCTCCAGCTACATCAAGGGCTGCTTGCCCTCAAGCCAGCTGTGAACTGCTATGCCAAGGCTTCTCGCCTTCCTTCTGGGAATTTTTCTAGACTTTCTGTAGTTCTAAATGCCATGGCTTGCTTTATCCTAGTTTACTCACCTGTTTAGATTGAACACATTTTTCAATGCTGCCTAAGAAAGGTCATGTGAGAAGTAATTTTTTAAATTTTTTTTCTTTAATTTTTAAAATTATTTTTATTTTATGTGTATGAGTGTATTGCCTGCATGTATGTGAGTGCACCCATGTCGTGCAATGCCACGGAGGTCAGAAGAGGGCTTTGGATTCCCCTGGAACTGGAGTTAAGGACGGTTAGTACCTGCCATGTGGGTTCTGGGAATCGAACCCGGGTCCTCTGCATGAGCAGTCAGTGCTGAGCTATCCTCTCCAGCCCAAGAAGTAAATTTTTAAATTACATTTTATTTGTGTGTGTGTGCGTGTGTGTGTGTGTGTGTGTGTGTGTGTGCATGCAGGCATATACCACGTTGCATGTGTGGAGGGAGTTGGTTCTCTCCTTCTAGGATGTGGGTCCTAGAGCTAGAACTCAGGTCATCAGGCTTAGTGGCAAGCACCTTTTACATCTGAGCCATCTCACCAGCCTGAGATGTTAATTCTTTTGAAAGTGTTTATATTAGAAACTATTTTATATTTCACAATTGAAAACTGAATATATAATTTTAAGTTGAGAGTATTTTTTCCTTATATGTTTGAAGGAACTGTCCTGTGGTCCACATTGAAGAACCCGATAATTCTAATCCAAGTTGATTCCTGATTCTTTGTATTAACAATTCTCCTTTATCTCAGAATAGCATTAGGGTATTCTTTCTTTTACTTCTTTGTGTCCTAAAACATTTTACAGGTAGACCTTGGTAAAGTTTAGTTTCCATCTAGAGTGTTGGATATTTGGGTCATAGTTTCAAAAATTCGTATCATTTGGGTTTTTAGATTTTTCTGCTGTCATTTTAAATTTAGCTTTACTGAGTTGTCATTTATATAAAACAAAATGCATCTCTTTAGATGACCAAACATATGCATCCATACAATAATCACTCTAATTAAGATATAGAACATTTCTATCATCTCAATAGAGTCACTCAAGCCTTTACCAGTAAACCTTTTCCTCTCCTCTGGATCAGGCAACCATTTGTTTCCTGTTACTATATGACAGTTTTGAGAGTTAATATAAGTGGAGACATATGTAGTGTGTATTGTTTTTGTGTCTGGCTTTTACTTAGTGTGATGTGCTTGAATTTGTCCATGTCGTGTGCATCATTTTCTGAAGAACCTCCACCCTGATTTCCACAGTGGCCTCAGTATCTTCCATATCTGGTAATATTTCCTGTCTTAAAATTTATTTTGTTTTATATAAATATAGTACCTATAGCTTTCTTATTTGTGTTAGCATTACATGTATTTCCTGTAATTTTTCTTTTAATTCGTGTATAATTTATTTAAAGTATGTTTCTCATGGAGAGCAAACGATTGGACCATTTTGTTGTTCAAGGCAGATCTCATTATGTACTCCAGACGACAGAGAACTTCAAACACACAATCCTTCTTTCTCTGTTATCCAGATAGTACATGCAGGCATGTACCATCATGTCTGGTTTCTGCCTCCTCCTCTTCCTTCTTCTTTTTTTTTTTTTTAAATACATTTATTCAAGGCTGGGATATAACTCAGTGGAACAGCAATTTCTTAGTATGCAAAGGATCCTGGACTAGTAGAACACACAGCCAAAAGCCACATTTATTCAACACTGGAGTTTTTTTCCCCTAAGCTCACTCTGAATTCTTGGACTAAAACAATTATTTTGCCTCAGCTTTTATAAGTAGTCAGGGCTATTGGTGACTGGCACTGTGACTGGACTACCTCTGACTGGAATAGACAGCCGCATTTATTCTTACATTCTATTAATCACAAATTCCACGGGTTCTATCTAAAAACACACTCCTAACACACCCACACCTCCTCATGCATCTTCTTCTTTTCCACAATATCATTGTACTTCTCTTCTGTAGTACTTTACCAGCAAATATCTGTACTGCCATTCTTGAAACTCATTCTTCATCCAGCAGATGAGAAATGCTTTTGAAAATCACAGTTCTTTCAATGACTTTCTATTGCACTTAGAATTAAGTCAAAACTCATGATTATGTCCTAAAAGGTCCTTTATAACCTGGCTCCCATCCCTTTCTTTCTCATCTCTTATTGTATAGTTGCCTCTTCATTTACTGAATAATTATATTGAGCACCTGCAATGTGTCAGAAATTGAGGTTGGCACCGAGACCCTACCGCAGTGACCTGACCTCTTTGTTACACTCCAAATACTCTTTGGTCTCACAGTAAAACATCTGCCATCCCCTATGTATGGCATGTTCACTCTTTAGCTGCTCTTTGTAAAATATTTTATTTGTTATTTTTATTTTTTATGTGTATGAGTGTATTGCCTGCATGTATATAAGTGCACCCATGTCATGCAATGCCCGTGAAGATCAGAAGAGGGTGTTGGATCTCCTGGAAATAGAGTTAGGATGGTTGTTAGGATGTGGGTGCTGGGATTCAAACCCAGGTCCTCTTCAAGAGCAGCTAGTGCTCTTAACCGCTGAGCCATCTCGCCAGATCTGTGCACTTTTCTTTTTGAGACAGAGTCACGCTATGTAGATCAGGCTGGCCATGAACTCATGTTAATCACATTGGCTTTGACTTGCTTATGCTGGGATTACAGGTGTATGTCACTATGCCCAACCTGTAGGTTTCTTGAGACCTAGAACTAAATCTTTCCTTCCTCTATAGTACAATGCCATACAAATATGGAGGTGCCCAACACATAGTTGAAAAATTGAATAATTTAATGACCATGGCATAATTAATATAACATAATAGGGTATGTATATAGCCAGTACAAATTAAAATAAGTGTGCTGACCCAGTTCTTCTCCACACAGGAGCAGCTGAGCTACAAGTAGTGACAGTTTCTAGAAACTCATTCATTGGAAGACCAGAGTAAAGAATGAGAAACTTAGTCTTTAGGAGGAAAAATCCAATGGACAAGTAATGTAGATAGGAAAAACCATACATAGCTCTTTATCAGAAAAACTTACATTCTGTTGGTGAAAGATGGAGACATTGGGGTAAGGAAGAGAAAACCAGGTAAAACAGAATTAGATAAGGAGATGAAGAAGACAGTTTTAGAAAGAATTCAAAATAGTTTTTTTTTAAAGTGATACACTTTATAAATATTTCAAAACACTTTAAATCACAGTTCTATGTAAATACTTTCAAATTAATTTTCTTTACCTTCACATGCATCAGTTGGTTGTCAACTGCTATTAGATGATTAAGATTTTCCAGTATTTCTAAGTCTTTTATGTCATCAATATTGTTTTTGCTGATATTCAAAGTAGAGAGGGATTTCTGTAAGAAAAAAATATCTAAATTAGCATTACCAAGTAGTTTAAATACTATATATAGGAAGCAGAAGTCTTAGTCCTTAAAGAGATTCAAATTTATTTGTTTAGGTTGGCTGCTTTTAGGGCAAGAAATTCAAAAGCCATGGAGGTTTTGCTTCGATACTCCTAATTTTCAGATGAAACTTTTAGAACTCTAGCATATGAAATAACTTACTCTTTTTGCCTATAGTTCTGTCTATGAGTCCTACTTTCCTCATCCAGGATACAGCATAAATTTACAAAGTAAAGAAATGAAGAATTAAAAAAGATCCTCAGTACACAAAAGGTAAGTATAATGTAGAAAAAAATTTATTGGTGTGTAAGCATATTATTATTTTGCGTTAAATATCATATAGGGAAGAAATAACATGACCAGACATGAAAGAATACCTGGTTTTCATTTTTATCTTTTCCTATTTAGTTTTTTCTTGACAATTTATCTGTTCAGAAGCCATTTGAAATAACAAGAATTCCAATGTTAGCTATTAACGAGACCATAAATATACTATATGACAACTCTAAATCAGTTATCTTCAAGTCTGAGGTTTAGAACTCTTATCAAATCTACCCACCAAGGCTACCACACATAGCTGACCTTTAGAAAAACAACATTTCCTAATATTTGAAAAGTCATGGTAAGTATGTATTATCTGTACAAAGTAATGCATCTCATTATGGCGTTTCCATAGATGACACAATGTACTTTGATCATGTTTACCTTCTTGTGTCTTTTTCCCCACGAACACTTAAGATGTTAAATCATTGAAAAATCAATGATTTAATATTTAGAATTTCAGAATCTGCTTGAATCTGTGCAAATATTGAATAAACAAAATGTTTTCAGTGGTGTTTTGTGAAAACCGAGACATAGGAGGATGATATTCCTTTTTGAGGCACTGGGCAGGTGTTAAAATCTGCTGTCACTATTAGTGTTAATGATGAGTTTTTATAGGTTTTATGGTAAACACTCCCTCTGACAATCACTTTCCTATAAATAAGTGAAGATGTTGGGGATGGTACAATTTGACCACCAAGCCGGCAGCTGTTGGACTCTCTCTTGCACGCTGCCTTTAGCAAAAGGAATGTCACATACTCAGCCAGACTACCTTTATGCCAGTGCCAGCCCTGTGAACCCATGGGCACCTTGAGAAAACTACACAATGACTGTGACTAATTGCCCCAGCTACTGAAATTGCGCCCAGAGCAGGACTGTTTTCAGATAGTTTCTACCAGATATTTTACTATTCCACAGGCCCCTGTGAACTCAGATGACCCTGAAAACATTTTCACCTAGGCAAAAGAGGAGGCACTTTCTCTTCCTGGCCCAGCAGAGGGACAGCTGCCACTGGTGCTAAAAAGGCAAGGCAGTGACTGATGCAAACCAAACCCTATTTGTATATGAGGTGTGATTGATGCAAACACAAACCTTCATTTGCATTCAAGAACTGTCATGATTGGTCCAGACATCCTTTCTCTGGCTATACAAGCAGGCTTACTTGCTGAGACAGTGGGGATACACCTTCCTGTAATCCTCATCTGAAATTACCACACCAGATCCTGTGGTATTGCTATGCCAACATTACAGTTACACCTGAATAAACAGACCAACTCTTGAATTTAGTTAAAAGAATGGGCTCCAACTCAGGAGCTCCAACCTGTTCCTCCAGGTGTCTCCTGGAACTGTGTGGTTGAGCCAGGCCTCACCCATAATTTTATTCAAAACTATTTCTCCAGCTTCATTTGGGGAACTACAAACTTAGACTCATCCTTATCTTATCTAGCTGCCTGATGGACATATGAAGAGGCAGCTGAACAGTATGAGTGTGTGGCCAGTGCAGACTCAAGGGGGTGTGTGTGTGTGTGTGTGTGTAGTAGAGAGGACAGACAGCTGAAGCTGGAGAAGGACACTGTACAGAGCCACAGAAGAGGTTGGTAGAGTTCTCGAGAGCCATCTCAAGCCTTTAGGGTCAGGGGTCTCAGATACCCAGACCCAGGTGCTGTAATGATGTCTGCTCTCCAGGTTTGAGGAATCCTGATAACCAGACCAACTGCGACACCAGTTGTTGCAAGGGCTATAGAATCATGATGTCATAGGCCTACACAAGAGCCATAATACTTAGAGCTAAGGGTCCCGAAACCCAAAGCTTGCATGAGAATTTTGTCACAAGAGGATACCACCCAATGTTCTCCTGCCTGCTTGCTGCTACTGCTCATCATGGTCAAACATGGAGGGATATAAAACTTACCAAAGAGCCAAGTGGTGGGAGCTTATAATCTCATTGACTCAGGATTCTGAAGGCAGGAAGATCACAAATTCAAGGCCTACCTGCACTAGAATGAGTCCAAGGTCAGCCTGAGTATCTTTATGAGATCTTAGGTAAAAATGGGGGTAGGAATGTAGCTCAGTGACAGAGTATTTAGGTAAGGTATGCACAAGGTTTTAGGTTCGGTCCCTAGTCCTGGGGTTAAAAAACAAAACACCTGCTGTGCTGGATAGCTTTAGTGTCAACCTCTCAATTGCTTATGAACCATGTAGTTTCTTCCTGTTTTGGACCTCTAAAATAGAACTGATGAAATCTGTACAAGTATGGCTCATGTATAAATCTCCTACCCAGCATTGAAGGTAGTAAGACCAAGACCTCTCCCATTTGAGGACTGGCAAGAGTTTCATCAGTGGACTCTGGCATCTCAATGTGTGGCACATCCATATCTTGAGACTGGTTGTCAAGCAACACAGCTAGATCCTTGAACCTGGTACTTGTGTAGTACACAATTAAGTCATGGTTCAGGAGAAAAAATAACTTATTGCAATATCTCTCTAGGTTACTTAAAAGTTGTCAAATAGCAGGAACATGCCCATAATCCCAACATTTGGGAGGCTGGGGCCAGCCCAGTTTATATGGTGAGACTTTATCTCAAAAAACATAAAAAGACAAGGCAAATTTTTTCAAATAATTGTCTACTCTTAAGAGTTCCTCTAAAATTTAAAAACATGAGCTATGATAATCATCAAGGCCCAAAATTATGAATGAATTACCATCTGTGTGAAAGCCAGTTTACATAGCCTGTTCACACCTTTCTTTTGGTCCTTCTCGTTCTAAGATGTAAGCAGTGTTACTCCATTTATTGTACTGTAATACTCTGAGACTACATGAGGAAATCAGCTTCAGTCCTCAAGCTTTCAATAGACCATAAACAGGAAGATACATGTACTCCCTAAATATATCTTCACCACCTCCTGTTCCATTACAACTTATTAATCACTACACTCCTTGTCACAACATTCAAATGTAACCTTACTGCCAAAGACTGAAGAGATCTTGGATCAAACAGAAGCTTTTCTCCAGGGGGAAGCCTCTGACTCTCAACATGAAGCTCCCTTAGTTCTTCTAATCCTTCCAAACCTTCTATAATTGCAATGTAATTGCCTCCCAGGTACCTGCAAAACAGAGACAGGGTTGCAAGTAGACCTAAGAATCCATGGGCTTTAAGGATGGGGCTTTAATGATGATAAAGTATAGTAAGGAGGGCAGAGGATAGCTCACTGGATAAACTGTTTGCTTCACAAGCATAAAGACTTGTTTGAAATCCCAGAATCAACAGAAAGCTGCTTGTGGTGGTTACATATCTGTAATCCTGGAGCTCATATGGTGAGATGGGAGGTAGAGACAGGAGCATCCCTGAAGTGTATGGGCCAGCAAGCCTGGGACACACAGGCACAAACAGCAGGAGACCTTCCTCTGATCGTGTGCCCATACACACACAAGAATGTGTGGGGAGGTGCATGTATGCACGTGTGCACGTTTGAGCATATGCACACACACACACACACACAGATTTAAAAACATTACTCGAGTGTGAAAATTCTACCCATAGTATACTGTTTACATTAAACATGTAAACTATGAAAAGTTCATCTAAATCACAGATTATATTCTTATACTTCATTTGGTCTAAATACATTTTAAAAATTTAAGTGAGAGAACTGAAGTAATCCTTACTAAATTATCTACCAGGGCTCCTTAAATGTTAGGGTCCTGAAGAACCCTATTCTGTGGGTTTATAAATGATGATTTCTGGACCTAACTCCCAGGGGATCTGTTTTGGATATCTAGGCTGGAATCCAGTAATCTGCACTTTTTAATGTGTTCCCCATCACAGCGTTCTATTCCTATTCTGAGGCCCCTGATCCACTTTTGGAGAAGCATGCTAGTTATTCCAATCTTGGGAATTTGGATCTACCAGTCTTTATTGAATAGTAATAATAACTTTTTTTTTTGGTCTTTTCTGAGACAGGGTCTCCCTGTAGCCCCAGCTGACCTGGAACTCACTATGTAGACCAGGCTGGCCTTGAACTCACAGAGATCCCCCTGCCTCTGCCTCCCAAGTGCTGGAACTAAAGGCGTGTGCCACCACGCCCAGCAATAATAACTTTTTAAAAAGATTTTATTTTGGGGGCTGGAGAGATGGCTCAGTGGTTAAGAGCACTGACTGGTCTTGCTCTGGACCCGGGTTCAATTCCCAGCACCCACATGGTAGCTACGAACCATCCTTAACTCCAGTTCCAGGGGAATCCGAAGCCCTCTTCTGACCTCCACGGCATTGCACGACATGGGTGCACTCACTTACATGCAGGCAATACACTCATACACATAAAATAATAAAAATATTTTTAAAAGATTTTATTTTTATTTTTAGTTATGTGTGTGGGTCTATGTGGACATGCTTATTACATGCCAGTTTATCAGGTTTAAAAAAGCATAAATTATGCCAGGCGTGGTGACGCAAGTGTTTAATCCCAGCACTCAGGAGGCAGAGGGAGGTGGATCTCTGTGAGTTCGAGGCCAGCTTGGTCTCCACAGTGAATCCAGGACAGCTGGGGCTACAGGGAGACCCTGTCTCAAAAAAAGACCCCCCCAAAAGGCATAAATTACTGAGCGTTTCATACGGATGTATTTATTACATATGAATACTAGTATAAAAATAAAAATTGAGATCTGTTCCACAAAAGCTGTGAGAATTAGATGCAAATACACATTTAATTTATTTTAATGCAAAAAGTAGAAATGCTTTCCTGCATAAAGTATGTACTATAACAAGGAAATGCAGTTAACATGATTCAAAAATAAAAGCACTTACAGTTTTTCTAGTTTCTTTAGTGAAGTGAGGTTCTCAATACATGAAATACAGTTGTTTTGCAGGTACAGGTGGGTCAGATTTGTAGTATAATTCAGGTTAGTGATGTGACTAATATGGTTGTCATATAAATATAAAACATTAAGGTTTTTGCAAAGAGAAATGTCATCCTAAAAGGAAAACAAAACAGGTTGTATTTAATTTCTCCTGAAAAACTTAGTTTGGTTTTAAGAAACTTGACCATTCTACAGAGCTCCCTAGGGTTATTATAAAATAATATTTCCCTATCACAGTCAAAATAAGACTACAATGATTATAAATAATTTTAGGCTTTAGAATTCTGTAATTGTGTTGGTAAAATTGTATTTCTTAAGATTTTTCCCAGTACAAACAATTTTCCTTGGAGGCTATTACAGACTCCTTTGAAAGTTGAAACAGTGAATAAATTATCATCCAAACATTGTAAAGCAGGGTTTAATCTTTCTGTAGGTTTGGAAGTAAATTGTTATGGCTTACAGTACTGAAAACTAGAAATCATTCAATATCCAAGAATAATGAATTTCAAATTTTTTGATAATGTTATTGAACTGAATTCTGTGAAACTTCCTTAGTAATGTCTGGCACATTTCATAATGAATGACTAAGTCACATTCCTTATGACCTACTACTGTATGATAACTATATGATTACATGCCTAGAAGAAGACTGGAAGCACATCTCCCAAATCTTAAAAGTGGTTATCTTTGAGTATGATTGCAGTCTTAAAGGTATTTGGGGATGGGGTGGGGGCTGGAGAAATGGCTCAGTAGTTAAGAGCACCGGCTGCTATTGCAGAGGACCCAGGTTAGGTTCTCAGCTCCCACATCGTGGCTAACAACCGTCTGTTCCAGGGGATCCAATGCCCTCTTCTGGCTTCCCTGGGCATTGCACACATATGATGCACTTACATAAATTCAGGCAAAACACTGATATACATAAAAAATAAAAATAGATAAAGGCATCTTTAAAAAGACTGCCATTTCTTCAGTGGTGGAATAGCTCAGAGTAATTAGACAAGAGGTAGATAAATTTACTCAAAAATACCCCAGCCATCATTAGGGTCACTGTTTGGGAATTTCAAGTCTCCAAGTTATTCTCATTTCAGTGTAGTTTATTTTGACTAGTTTGTTTCTTCTTAGCAAGGATCATCTACACTAGAGGAGTACTGACTGATCTGTGGCTGAAAAAAGGTTTAAATGGAGCCGGGTGTGGTGGCACATGCCTGTTGTCCCAGCACTTGGGAGGCAGAGGCAGGCGGATCTCTGTGAATTCAAGGCCAGCCTGGTCTACATAGTGAGTTCCAGGACTGCTGGGGCTACAGGGAGACCCTGCTTCAAAAAAACAAACAAACAAAAAAATGGTTTAAATGGAGACTGGGGCTTTCTGGAGAAAGTAGTCTGTATATGGTACAATGATGTAGAGAGCTCTGGGCAACAAAAGAGAAACATGAGGTTTGTGTGATTGGCTTCCTGGGGAGGATCGTTAGGAAACCAGAAATGATCCAGAAGCTGGATATGGTGGCATCATCTGCAATCCCAGCACTTGGAGGCTGCAGCAGGAATATTTTGTGTTTGAAGCTAGCCTGCTTACTCTACTTAGTTTTGTGCAGGGGGAGGGGCAGGGTCTCATAGCCCATGACGACCTCAGATGTGAGATTATATATATGTGTGTGTGTGTGTGTGTGTGTGTGTGTGTGT